TCCCTTTTTTATTTTTTTAACCTTTCTTGCTTTCTGGACTTATGCTTGTAGCTTTGGTGGACTTGCATGAAATTGCATCTTTCAGGTCAAAAAAAAAAAAAGAAATCATCCTCCATATTTTGGTGGCTACTATTTGTATCTTATAGTGTGGTTTGGGTTTGACTAAATAAAACGATTTGATATTAATTAAATACCGACCCACAACAACAAAAGTACTTGCAAATTTATAAGTGATTATCATACTTTAAAGCATGAAGTTCATTTGTCATCATTTAAATATTTTAATATTAAAGTATATTTATGCTCATCAAAGTAGTTCAAAAATACCATGTTTTGATTAAGTTGGTTACTACAAACAAGAAGTTATTATTATTATTATTATTATTATTATTATTATTTTGCCAGAATATAAACAAGAAGTTCATTAACGTAATTTGTACTATCTTAAGTCTCTTACTGATTTTTGATCAAATAATTGGGAGAAAGATTACAATTTCATCTTGAACAATACTGTTAATTGATTATTGTAAGATAGATGAGATTTTTTTTTAAGAAAGAGTAATATATCAATATATAATAACCAAATATCTAAGGAAACAATAGAAAAGACAAGAACCTAATGATGCTAGCCGCGTCAGATTTCTATTGGTGGCATTTTTTTGGAAACATCGCATAACTATCGCTAGTGCAAATTTTTTAAACAAATAAGTAATCTATTTTTATTTTCGCCAGCACCCAACAAGTAATTAATATACTTTTAAGCATAATAATATAATAATATTGTCCAGAATACTATAATAGAAATTGAGGAATTTAATACATTTATATATTTAATGTGTATAATATTTTTTGAACAATTAAAATCTATTATACTTCTTTGTTTTTGCCAGAAAAGTCTATTTTTCTTCAATTATTTGAATATTTGTGTATATGAGTGTTTAAACTATACAAGAGTAGTGTGGAGTAGAATATGCACATGTGACATGTTTATGCGTATATGGTATATGGCATTTCAGCGAATATTTAATAATAAGTATAAGCAATAAAATAAAAGTTCAATTTAAAGATCTTTGTCTTCAACTATTTCTTGATCATTAGAACTAAAAGATACTCCCTCCATTCAAAAAAAAAATGTAAGATATTTTTAACCAAATATTACCTCTAATAAAATAGTTACTTGTCTTTACACTAATTCTATCTTTCCTTATTTACTCCAATTTAATAGGGTGCTTTACCCTGAAAACATATAAAGTCATCTATTCAATAGAAGCACTTTTTTGAAAAACAAAGTAATGATTATATCTTAAAAGACTAAAAATACTTTACATGTTTTAACATCTAACTCTTCAAAAAATACCTTATATTTTTGAAAGGAGGGGAGTATGTCTTTGTTAATATTTCATATGAATATTGATTGCTCTCGCAAGTGTACGAGATCACAGTAATAAATTACCTAGAGTATTTCAGGTGTCAAACCCACAGGGAAGTTACACTTTTACTAATTTAAATAATTAATAGTTTAAGAAAAATAGATAAAATGGATAAATTTGATAAAAATATAAGGAATAAAAATAAATCAAGAAAATAATGATGATAAAAACTCAATCACTTGAAGCGTTGGGGTTTAGGATTCACCCTATAGGTTGCTAGTTTCTACCCTTTGAGTTGACTCGGATCAATTATAGTGACAACTATTCCTAAAGTATCCTAATATTCTCCCGAATTATTAGTCCCTTTTTAATTAGTATTGAATTCATTCCCACGATACCCAAGCAACTAATTAAACTGTGAAGCTATAGTTTAAGTCACCATAAATTTCTAGAACTATTCCTAGCCTAGTTATTTATGTTTATTTCTCTAGATCTAGGTTCTCTCTTCACCTCCCAATCTATCAAGATTACCCGTAGATTTGATTAAATGGTGGCCAGTCATTAAATCAATATAAAGAACAAGAGAAATAAATATAATTGGGAAAAAGCAAAAATATTCATAAATATAAATGCAAAAAGAGTCAAAACAAAGGAAATAGAAAACTAGCTCCCCAATTGGGCTACATCCTTCTCCCAACTGGGTAATTTAGAAACACATAATAAAATCAAATAAAATCATTCTAAAATCCCCAATCATGAAAAATGATCGCAGAGAAAATTAAGGAGTAGAAGAGAAATAATTATAATTTGTGAACTTGTGAAACTCCTCAATGATCTCGCTTTCAGCCTTCAAAATGCTTCTACGAGCTCCAAATATTTCAGAGAGAATTCTTGAAGTACTCGGATAAGTGATTGCATACCTTCCCTCTTGATAGAGGGAGTATTTATAGTTAAAATGGAGGCTCCTTCTTTTGTTTCTTGTCAATATGGGACTTTGATATATATATATATATATATTTCTCTTTCCCTTCTTTCCTTCTATTTAGTTTATTCTTTTTCTCTGCAAAATATAAAGAGAAAAAGATATAGATAAAAAGATATGAGTGAATTTTGTATTAAAATTTCTTTTTATCTTATAATTAAGTGATGAGGAAAAAATATATAAATATTAATTAAATAGATATGAAATCTTAATAAATATAATCAAATTCAAATAAAATATATACCTATTTAATTATAAAAATTGTACTTATCAAATATTAATAATAAAGTAATAGTGATAAATCACTATAAAAAATTATTAAAATAGAGATAGAAGTTAGAGACGACCTAATTATCATCTCTAATAAAAATGAAAATAGAGACTAGTTCTATTTTTAGAGACAGATTTAATTTAAAAAATATTTTAAAATTTAGAGATGGATTTAGAGATGACTGATATATGTCTCTAAAAAAAAAGTATCGCAAAATCCATCTGACTTTCATCATTATTCATGAAAAAATTAATTTTTTAAAAAATAAAATGTTCTAGAGATGAATAAATTTCATCTCTAATATTAATTTTACATTTTTAAAAAAATTTAAAGATTGAATTTGAGACATATTTTTTTTTTTGATAAATTTAGAGACAAAAGCTTAACCATCTCTAATTCCCTCTCTATATTTTTTTTGAAATTTTATTTTTATTAATTTAGAGATGGAATTAGAGATATTTTAAATAAATATATTAAAGCTAAAATTATTTTTTATTCTTAATGTGTCTCTAATTCAAAGTAGAGACAGATTTAAAGACAGAGCCATCTTATAAATTTTTTAATTTTTGGATTATCAATTGTTTTAATACATGTTTAAAATATATTAAGATGCAACTTAATTTTAAAAGATGTAGAAAATTTTTTATCATTGTTTAGTGAGCTTCCCATTCAATGTGGACAACAAAAATTTAACATTTGTGTCCAAAAACATTTATCTTTAAAATTAATTGTATTTGAAAATGTTTTGCATATCATTTAAATCTTTCTCTTCTTCCTTCCATCTTTCTCTAAGTTTAACCATTCTCATATTTTAAATTCACATTTAGTATTCATTAATCTATTCTATAACCATAATTAATTAAGTTTTTTGTCTCTTTTGTGTTATTCATATTTTCCTTCAATACTTTTATAATATTTAACAATTTTTTTCCAAATAACAAAATTGTGTTGAAAGAAGTTACTAACAATATTTTATAACAACACATTAAGATAAGAAAATAAAATCAAAACTCCAAAACATTTATGGAGTTGAATATTTATATATATATATATATATAACATAATTATAATATTTTAAATTTTAAATTTGTTCCATATTAAAAAAGTTTGATAAAAATAATTTTTTTTAAATAATTTTAAATACAAAAATTCATATAAATATATTTAAATTAAATATTCCATTTAAATATTTTATATTTTAAAATTTATTAGTATTTATTAAAAATTAAAAATTGTTCAAAATGAAAATTAACAAAATTTATATCTTCAAAATTATTTTTTATTAAAATAATTTTAAAAAATAATTGAAAAATTATAGATAAAATTTATGTGTAAGAAAAGAATTGGAAACATTTAACCATTTTGGGAGAAGATAAAAATTTAATCATTTATTTATTAATTTTTGAGAATAATATGGAGAATAAAAAAGTAAAAGATATTTAATATAAACTAAAATAATACAAATTTTAAAATAAATTATATATTTAATTATTTTCATTTAAAAATTATATTTTTATATTAAAAATTTGTCTAGTTTTATGTTCATTTTCCCAAAAAATAATATTTTGTTAAAAATATAATATAAATAGTCATATAATTAGTTTTATCATATTAATAATTGCAAATATAATATAATATATATATATTTAATAATATATTATTTTATATATTTGTATGTACTTAAGTAACATATATTTAATTTGACATAAAATAATTACAAGTACATTTTAGTTCAATTGGCAAAAAATGAGGCCTTAAGGCTTGGAAGGTGGGAAGTTAAGGGATCAAATATTGGCCTTAGCATATTTTGTAACAAATATGTGATGTGGCACATGGTAGTGGCTGACATGGCATGAGCTGGCGACATAATGCATGACATGACATTGGTTGACACATATGGGCAAGTGAGTTGGCATGTGTAAATACACACGTGGCTGGTGAGGTGTCAAGTAATGTAGCATCAACTGATTCATACATGGTAGATGACGTGGCATTAACATGGCAGTGAAGACATAAGGAATTTAGTGTTCATTTTTTTGGAGACAGATTTAAAGACTATTTTATTCCATCTCTATCATTTTATATAATTTTTAGAACATTTTATAGCAATGAATTTTTCATGAAAATTAGAGACAGTATTTTTTATTCAGAGATAAAATAAATTTGTCTCTAATCAATAACGGCTTAAAAAATATATCTCTAATTATTTAGAGATGCCCTTTTTTGAGACACCCAAATATTCGTCTCTAAATTTGTCTCCACTTGTTTAGAGATAGATTTTTCATTAGTTGGAGTACAAATTATTGGGTGTCTCTAAACAATATTTTTTAGTGAATATTATTAAAAAAAATACAAATAACACTAACCCATGACAACCTTCAATAATGTCCAAGAAATATAGAGTAATATGTTAGAGTTACAAAATACTTGGTATGAACCAAATTGGATATGGCACGTCAGTGAAACTTGAACTTTCAAATGTATAGTAATCAGTCATCTTATCAATCCTATGATGCCTCCCAATTCTCAATCCTTCCCATTTGTCTGTGATACCCTTAACACATGGAAAACGATAGGCAAAATAGATACAATTCCCCTTGATAAACTCTTTAGGGCACTGAAGAGCATCATTTGACACTACAAAACTTTTCCAAAACCCAATGAACAACATACGATTTCCCAAGTTCTTAGCTTCTATCCATCTAGGTTCTTTACTCATATCCAACTTAAACACTCGACTATCTACAATCTTGGGTGGACTGGTATACTCCTTTCTTGCCGTATCATTAAGCATTCCCTTCAACCTAAAGATTGAGTTGTAAACCAAATAAATAAGGAATAACTCTCCTGATGAAGAATCAACTGCCAAAGTCCTAAGAATGTCACCATGAGCTTCCCAAGAATTAATAATGCGACCATCACCATCATAAAGGAAGTCAAGAGGACTCGTTTTCCGTCTTATTATAGCAAATCCTATTTCAGGAAGCCTTGCTAATATTCTAGGTTTTACGGGTTCTTTTTGCAAATCATAAAAAACTATAGAATTTAATACTGAGTGGGTCAAAGCATACAATTTCCCATCAATGATCTCTGCGCGCAAGAGTGCTAATGCCGTAGACACATCTTCTTCAACGATAGTCCATGACTCATTAGAAATCCAACTGAATGCAAACACAAAGTGACGATAAAAGAGACACACCACAACACAGTTTGGGTCATTGGGTTCTATTGATGCCACAATACTTTTAATTTTACTTTTCACTTTCAACCTTGACGACATATACACCTTAGCATTTGTTATGGGGTTGAAGAAGAAGATTCGTGCATCAGTTTCTTGAGCATTATCAAAAGAATTGTTGATAGATTCAACCATGATCATCCAACCTTTTATTGTGCCATAGCAATGATGGAAGAATTCATGTGAAAAGCCTGTGGAGTTGAAGACTCTTCCTCTGGGCAAGTCGAAGAAGGGAAGGTTTTCCATGTCAATTGTTTGAAGAAAAAGAACTGGCAGATCAGGTGATGGAAGACAATGTTTGTTGGCAATGCATTTAATAACTGTGGATCTCCAACTAGAGCATACAAATAGGGTTTGAAGGTAATCAATGACCCCTAAGTGTTTTAGAATGAAACCTAAAACATCATCTCCGACTTGTGACCATTTGTTGCAAATGGCTCTTTCTTCTTCAACGTTCATTTCTCTTTTCTCATCACCATCACCATCACCATCATCTAGAATTTGCAACCTTTTGTTGTTGCTACTTCCTTCTTCTTTAACGTTCTTTACTCTCTCATCATCATCTTCAATATATGCATTTTCGTTGTTGTTGCTTCCATCTTCGTTATTGCTCATTACTTTTCTCTCATCATCATCATCATATGCAATTTGCACCTTTCTGCTGCTGCTACTTCCTTTTATTGCTCTTCCCTCATCATCACCATCTGCATTATGTTCCTTTTTGTCGTTGTTGCTTTGTCCTTCTTCTTCTTTGCCATTCATTATACTTTAAAAAAGACAATTACTTAGAAAAATACGGAAAAACAACCTAGTATATATAATTAATGGTTTTGTTCATGTGAGAAAATCATCTTTCTTTACGCACATTTGAGCAAGGATTTAAACTAACCAATGAGTCCTTCCTAGAAGTAAAGCATAAATAATTTCATTCCTTGTGAGTTGGGCAAATGATTCAAATTATGTTTGTAATCATATCCTTCAAATGAAAGAAGCAAATTTAATTTACATATCATAGATGCTTCGAGAGAGATCTTGGGTAAGGAAGGTAAATAAGTATAATTACCGAGTCAGGAGATGTTCTATGACTGGCCATATACACTCGATCCATGTTAGTTTCTTGCCACTGCTTTCTTCTTGTGTGCTGTTCATTATGCTAGAAAAACAAGATATAAAACATAAAAAACAGTATATTATAACTAAGGTTTGAGCTGCATAAAAAAATCAAAAGTTTTTGAACATGATGTGTGGGGTGGATTTAAATTAACAATTTATTCTCTCTAAATTGTGATCACTTTCATGACTAAGCATATTTCAGTCGTATCAAGAAGCTTATCAAATTAAAATATACAACAGTCTCTTTGATCGTCAATATCAGACATCTCATAAAAACTTTATGCAATCTTTAATACAAAATATCTTATAAACTTGACGGAAATAATAAAGAATCATTTCTAAAAGTGCCCACATAGCAGTTGGTTCACACTTCATTTGGGTTACTTGTTTGAATTTGACTTTAAGATTTAAAGATAAAGTTAATAATTTTAATTAACCATTTTTGGAAAAAAATCAAAACTCCTGACTAATTATAAATAATTTTCACTAATCCACGTAATTTAATTAAAAGCATCTTCTAAATAGGACCCGGAATGTATTTTATGCTAGAGTCGTTTCTGAACATATAAAACTCATTTGTTTAAGAACCAAAAATCAAAGAAAATAAAGATGGCACAAAAATGCTTTGAAGAACAAAGAAAAGGTGATCGTGGGGTAGAAAGAACTAAGAACAGGCCCTGTGAGAAGCAGAGGCGCGAATGGATTCCACTAGATGTCAATTTTCGTTATATGAAGCAGAGATAAATGAAGACAGTTAAAAAAAAAAAAAATTACAGATCTAATCAAACTGCGTGTAAACGCAAAGTTTAGCACAGATCGGAGATGGTTTGATGGAGAGAACTGAAAGTCGTAAGAGAAGAAGGCAACAACAGATCATACCTTCTGCTTCTGGGTTGTCGCTCTGCCTTTGGATCTGCGCTTTCCTCTCCCCTTCCGTCTCTCTCACTCTCCTATGATCCCTCTCTCTCTCTCTCTCACCCAAAATATCTTCAACTCTTTCTAAAATCTTGTTATTTATTTATACGGAGTTTGCTTTTTATTCAGCCAGGCAAAGTCATTTGAATTGGAAAAAGAAAGAAAACCAGATTTTGCAAAATCATAATAGCATAATTCTATATACATATATTCTTATTCATTTGTTTCCGTTTTCAAAATTATCATTTATTTATTTATTTTTAATTCATAAAAACATATATCTCACATAATTTGTTTGTGTTTTTTTATTATTTTAAATAATACGAAGATAGATTTCTTATATTTTGATACAAAATTTATTAAAAAAATATTTGGCATAAAAAGAGGGGACAGGGTTTGTTCCGTACCGCACGTTCCGTGGAGGAAGGCAAAGCTATGAGATCGCAACAATAATGATGGGGCTTCGGAGGCAAAATTATTGCTAAAAACCCCCAAAAAAATAATATTTCTTAAAAAGGGTCTTGAAAATAATAATGATTGAGAAAGACCAAATACTAAAATATAAACTTTAAAATATAAAATTGTCCCTAACTAAATCTTCTATATTTTCTGTAACCACATTTCAAATTGAATTTGACAGTTATGTTACTGATAATAGTAAATAAATAAATAATATTGGAAATCAACGCAACTGAAAAATTTAGTGTGTCTTGACGACTCGCAAGTTTGAAAAAAAAAAAATGAGTTAAATATCATCATCACATGGTCACTGAATCAACTCATCGTAATGTTAAATAAGTCCTATAAAGATAAGTTCACACTAAAAAATATTTTTAACCCATGAAAGAAATAAAATGTAATAATTTCTTTAAAATATTTTTAAATTATATTGACTTAATTTTTTAAAAGTAATTATTTTAAAATTATAATCAATTAATTATTTAAAAAGTAATTATTTCTTAAAATGTATTGATTTAATTAAATTTAATACTATATTTTGTTTTTATTTATGTGAAATTGGAATACGCCCAACTTTATTTTTAGAAGATTTTTTTTTATAACTTATGCAACACCATTAATTTTAAAATACTATTAATATGTTTTATATTAAAATTATAATAGTTAATTATATTTATCTTGGTCCTTTAGTCTAATTTTAATTTTTATGATCTTTCCCATAAATATTATTTTTTTCTCAGTCCTTGGCAATAACTTTCCCATGATAGCACCCGACATGAGTGCCCTCTCACCTCTCTTCCCAGTTGGCCCGCGCACACGCATGACCCATGTGAAAACTGAAAAATAAGAGAAAGTGGAACTCTATTGATTCCTCCATCCTTCGCACTTTTTTCATCTTAATATTTGAAGAAAAATTAATCTACATGTTCTGTCGTCATAGCTTTATTCAGCATTAAATTATTAATTCTTGTAAGATAAAGAGTTTTTTTGTTTTAATTTATTTTATAAAAAATCACTTTTTTAAATATCTATTTTATGAGTGTTTACAATGTTTATTTAAAAACACGCTTGTTTTAGCTTATTTTATAAAAAAAATCACTTAATTTTTTTTAAAAAATATTTTATGAGTTTTAATTATATTTGTTTAAACTATTGAAAATAATTAAAATCTGAAAAAGGTAGATTTTTTATTATTTTTAGAAAATACTTTGAGTAGCTCCTAAAAATAATTTGATTCACTAAATGGAAAAGAATGTTTTAAAAAAGTAGGATGGGCAAGTATATCATAAAAATTTAAAATAATTAAATAATAAATCATTTTTAAAAATAAAAATAAAAAAATTATAAAATTTAAAAATAACTAAGGAAAAATATCAATCAATTTAGGATTTAACAAGTTAGGAAAAATGGATAGGATAGGTTTAATTGTATAATTGTTAGTCCTTCATCAATAATATCCATTCAAGTTTTCACAACAATGCATAATTAACAATTCATTCTTATAAAAATGGATAAGAAGGGTATAATTATATAAGTGTTAGTTATACATCAACAAATATCCGTTTGAGCTTTAACAACAGTTATTTTGAAATTAACAACAATTCATTCAGGTTTTAATAAAAAAATTGATAGGATGGGCTTAATTATACAAGTGTTGGTCATTCATCAACAAGTGTTCATTTATATTTTGACAACAACCATTCATGATTAAAAACAATACATTCAAACTTTAATAAATAAAATGCATGAAGGTTTGAAGCTCCCAATTTGTAATTGATCATGTTAGATTAATAAGTAACATTAGTAAAATAACAAGTGTTGTTTTGGAATTAACAACATATCGTTATGTTATAACGTGGAAGTGGTTTAGAAACTTGAATTGCTACATTTTTTTGGCCATATATAATTAAAAGAGCTTGGTGGCCTTGGCCACAAGGTTTTTAGGTGGCCAAGGGGTTGTGGGATAAAAACCCACCTTGGCCACCTTTACCATTTTTTTAAAAAAAAGCCAGAGCTCCGCTGACTAGTTGCTAACGATAGGGTCTCCGACGGTGGTCTGGTGGTCGGTATAGGTGACAATTGGGGTGACTTTTTTATTATTTAAAATTTTAGGAGCAATTTGGTCATTCCATGTAAAAATTAGTATCAGTTAAGGACCAAGGGGCTGCGGTGGATTTTCAGAATCTATTGGCCCTTGACTAATATAAATATGCTCCAGTGGTTCTTGATTGATATTTTCCCAATAATTAACTAATAATCACTTTTTATTATTGTAACCAAACATAAAATAATATTTTCTTTTTAAAAAATCTTTACAAAATAAATTTCTTTTCATGAAATCTTAAAAGTATCTAAAAATTACTTATTTTTTAATCTTAGACAAATGAGTCCTAAACTTTTGAACATAATCAAAATTCCCAAAAAGCAAATTTCTAAAGTAACTTTTGAAAATAATATGATGTGATAGATGAAAAAGAATATTTTAAAAAGTAAAATACAGGAAGATATCATAAAATTTTATAATAATTAAATAATAAATCATTATTATAAAGAAAACATTAAAGAAGATATTATAAAATTTAAAAATAACTAACTAATAATTAATTTTTATTATTATAACCAAATATAAAATAATATTTACATTTTATAAAATCTTTATAAAAGAAATCTCTTTCTATAAAGGGCCCGTTTGTTTAAGATTAAAAAATAAGTAATTTTTAGGTAGTTTAAAGATTTTATAAAAAGAGATTTATTTTGTATAGTTTTTATAAAAAGAAGACATTATTTTTTATTTAGTTACAATAATAGAAAAGTGATTGTTAGTTAATTATTTTAAAATTTATGACATCTTGTTTTTTGTTTTATAAAAATAATGTATTATTATATTATTTTAAAATTTTATGATATCTTCGCGTATCCTGCCTCTTTAATACACTCTCACCAATCTACCACGTTAGATTATTTTCAGAAGCCACACAAAGTTTCTTCTTAAAATAATTGCAAATCTGCTTTTTTTTAATTCAAATTATTTTAAAAAGTTTAAATAAACACCATAAAAGCTCACAGAATGGATTTTTTTCAAAAATAAGTGATTTTTTTTGTGAAATAAGCTAAAACAAATAGGCCAATATTTTTGACAGAAGAATTGATTTACAGCTAAAAAATTATTATGAATATAAAATTCAAGTTACGTTACATATCGAAAAATTTTAAGATCGTTGTTAGGAGCTTAAAGATTTTCTTTACCTTAGGCTTATTTAGGTCGCCCGAATAAACCTAAAAAATTTAGACCAAGTCTAAACTTGAATAGGCTTAACTCAAATACCTAAATTCATTTTTTATTATTAATAAAATAATATTGAAATAAAATAAAAGTTGAAAATATTAATTTTTAAAAAATTAAAATTAAAATTAGATAAAAAATGAAAAATAAAAAATGGATACTTTGATTTAAGTAATGACTACTTTTTTAAAAAAATGACTAAAATGGAATAGTAAATTACAATTTCTCCTCTACAAATTGTTTAATCAGTGAAATACAACAACTAAATATCATTGACTACTTCAATTTAAATGATGCCTATTTTTTGAAGTGACTACTTTTCAACCTAGATGTAGAGCCCACCTTAATTTTGTCTAATTCCTTTGAGATAAATCATAGGCCTTAATGCTCTATATTCAGTACATTATGTAATTAAGTAAATTGGTTTAGTGAATTTAAATATTAAATCCCAATGATTGAACTTTTTGTGTTCTTGTGTCTGCAATCCTTTAGAAGTCAATTGGTTTCCTCTCATTATACTAATTGAGTGCTTATGAATAAAGACATATAACTAATTAACTAATTATCTTAAAGAAACTAATTGGCTGGATCATATTTGCATTTGAACATTGTGCATTATAAGAAGAAACTACCACTAGCCAAAAAGAAGAAGAAGAAGAAGAAGAAGCAACTACCCAATTGCTTCTTCTTCTTTTTTTGTTACTCTCGTACTCTATTTGAAAACTCATAAAAAGTTGAAGCAGGGTCTAGCAAGCTGTAAATTTGTTTATTCTCAAGTTGAGATTATTCAAAGTTTATTATGTTATTCTTGTAACTATGGTCTATAGTATATGGGGCGTAGGGTAATCCTCCCCTATATCTATCAAATATAGGAAAGAATTAACAAAATTACCACCTTAACTCAAAATCAAACAGTAATCAAATGTTAGTTTGAAAAGCTTAGGCCTAAGTCTTGTTTTTCAAAATTATCAAAATCTTAACATATCAAAGCCATACACAACGGAAACAATCACATGCATTCATATCAATCATTGCATGCCTTTGAAATAAAAAAAATAAGGTCAGATTATGGTTCATGTACTGCAGCGTGTGCGACATGCACTGTGGCATGTGGTATAGAGCGTTGAGCTCTAACTTTCTCTGCACCATGTGCCATGACGTGATGTGCAAAGTGCCGCGGCACACCAGCTCATTTTTGTTGCTGTCATTTGACAACACACAAGATGAACGTGTGAGGTGAATGTGTACTTCATTTTTGTCTCTTCCTTCTCCTTAGCTGCTGGAAGTGGCTCTCGTGTTTATGGTAAGAGTGATTCTCTCTTTTGTTG